GCATGTTGGAAGATGAGGTGGCTTAACTTTTGCATCCAAAAGATGAGTTTTTGTCTGATCCTATTCAATCTCAGACCAACCAAAGAGTCCTTCACTATACTCAGGTTTCAGTGCTTTGGTTTGTCTTCTACTGAGCCCTGAGCTCACTGATATTCTGGTTTGTAACTTCTTATCTGCCTCCTGATTCAGGCTTTAGGAATAGTACCCTGACACGAATCCTCTCTCACACACAGTAGTCCTAGGATCCTCATGTTTTTCATTTATTAATGTGCATAAGAACTTTATGGGAGATATATTTAATAATGTAAATTTTGGACACACATCTCACCTACAAAAAAGCATCTATAGCAGTGCTAACTTTTATATATATATATATATATAAATATATAAATATAACTTTTTAGGACTGGGGAGTTAGTATCCTTATAAGGCATTTACCTCACACATGGCCAATTCCAGTTTGACCCTGGCACCATATATAGTCCCCCAAGCACCAGTAGGAGTAATCACTGTGCATAGAGTGAGGAGTGAGTCCTGAGCACTACTGGGTATGACTTAAGTCCTGCCCTCCTCCAAATTTAGCGACTACAGATGAGAGACTAAAGTATAAATTCTGTTAATTTACTAATTTATTTTTATTGTATTTAATTAATTTAAATATAAAAATCCACATGGGGCCAATGGCTACCATATCAAACAGTACAGACCTATACATTTAACAAGCATCATAGTTGATTCTAATAAAGCTTAAGAACCATTTTAACAAGAAACCTAGGTGAATGCTATATTCATTTACTCATACATAATAAGGAATCATCACATACTTGTTTAATTAATGCACAAATAACTAAGTAGATACATAAACCAGAATATACTGTACTTGAAACTTAGGATATCTCTTCTTAAAAAGACAAGGGAGGGTACATTTTCAGTTAAAAAAAGTATCAATTAAATGTAATAAATTGAAGCTAGGGAGGTAGTACAAGGGTTAAAGACATGTTTTGAATACAACAAACCCTGGTTCTATCTTGGCACCACATGGTCCCCACATACCACCAAGTGTGGCCTTGGAGTCCCCAAATACTATCTCTTGGTAGTCCCTGGCTCTGTAGGACCTGGGCTGTATGCATTGAACCAACTGAGCAACAATCACCAGTAGTGACCTTAGTTTCCCTCTTGGGAAGCACCCCCCCCACCTTAGTTTCCCGCATGGGAAGCACCCTCCCACCTGTAGTTTTAATTGAAAAACAAATGTGATATGCTCATCTTAAAGAGATCCTCTTTCAAAATTATTTTTTAACTACTAAGATATTTTAGGGAATAATTGTTGAAATTTGAATGTAGAAAACATGTTAAATGATATTAGAAAAGTATTTTGTTTATTTAGGTCAGATAACATCATTGTAGTTTAAAAAAGGAAAATGTCTTTACTATTGGAAATCATAAGCTAAAATATTTAAGGACGAATTCTCATGATGCCAGCAACTTATTTTCAAATGGTTCAATCAAAAATGTGTGTGAGTATGGGGATCAGGTTGGAAGGAGGTGGGTGTGAGCAAGAGAAAACTGGTGTGGTTAATGATTGTTGAACTAAACACAGTATATTTAGTATTCTTCCCTTTAATTGCATTTGGCACTAAAAGTAAAGTTAGGAAAAATTTTACCCACAATGAATTGAAAAAGTTGAAAACAAACTTATAACTCTCCTGATTTGGGGGTGTTAACTTCAACCATTACACAACGATAAAAACTATTCAACAAGTTCTTTAGACCAGATACTGCAAATTGGCAGCCCATAGATACTATCTTACCTGAATATAAAATGTCCTCACCGAATGTCAGTGATAGATTCTCCAGAAATGTGAATTTAAGTACAACATTGTATCAAAAAATGGCTTAGACATAGGCTGATAGATAGAAAAAGTTATAGTCTTTAAGTGTATTTTGGAGGCAAAAACATAATCAAACTTCTAATTACGTTCCAAACACTTCTATTGTTAAATAATTATTTTCATTCACTATCTAACCTAGTTAGCACAGCGGGTAGGGCATTTGCCTTGCACGTGGCCCATCCAGTCGACCCGAGTTCGATTCGTCAGCCCCTCTCGGAGAGCCCAGCAAGCTTCCCAGAGTATCGCGGCCGCCCGGCAAAGCCTGGCAAGCTATCTGTGACGTATTCGGTATGCCAAACACAGTAACAAGTCTCATGATGGAGACGTTACTTGGTCCGCTCGAGCAAATTGATAAACAACGGGAGGACGGTGCAGGGCTACAGTGATCCAACCTACTTATTTTGGATCTGGGTTGAGGGTTCTGAGAGTCTATGCTGGCAGCTGAGGGATCAAGGTGGGAACCCACTGTGAATAAGATGCTCTTCATTGTGTGAGTGTCCTCACACACAGATCCTCATTCACAATAGGACAATGAAGACACATCAATAAAGTTAGAGACATTGGAGCTGAATCCAGAGAAAACCCATGCAGACACAAGGAAAATGCATCAACAGAAACAATGGTCCTTGGGAGTAATATTTTTTTCCTCATAAACATTGTGACATTATAATGAAACAGTGAATAGAATAACCTTTTTTTTTTCATCCCAGTTGAGGTTTAAAAAAATTAAGTAGTGGGAGTGAGAGAGATAGTATAGCAGGTAGCCATATGGTTCTTCAAGCCCACCAAGATTAACCCTGAGAGCAGATCTAGGAGTAAGGCCCAAGCTTGGCTCCCAACACCCCAAAACATTTAGAGGAACTGAAGAGATAGTACAAGGATTAAGGCCCTTGACTCTGAATTCCTGGCGCTGCATTTGGTCCCCTGAGCACCACCAGGGATCATGTCTGAGCACAGGGCCAAGAATAGCCCTCTAAAGCCCAAGCCTCCTTCCTGAACCCCCAATTTTTTAATTTGGAGTACTTTAATTTTGATATATTATATAATAACACATTTTTCTTATATTATTATTATTATTTTAACTTAAACCACTCAGACTGCATCCTCTCCCTCTCCCCTTCCAAGGGAAGAGAAGAACAATTATCAAAGGGAAAGGCAGTTGCAGAAGCTATGCCTCAAACAGGCTTCGCCCTCAGGAGAGAGGCTCTTCTTGGTTTGGGGTGCTTGACACAATCAGAGAAACTTCTCTAGTAACAAACTATAGAAATGATCCCTGAATATACAGTCTTCTAAAATATTTTTCATTTCAATGAACAATAAAACAATTATCTCAAAATAGCAAACTCTTCCTCTGATAGGAATACTATTTTGAGAATTTCAGGTATTGAACCCCTTTATTCCTCCTGGAATAATATGCCACTGTGAAATAGATGCTGCCACTGTCCTCCCTATCCAGAAAGGGAAACTAATTAACTAGAGGTTACATAAGTTTCTCAAAGTCCTACAGGTTCTTTCTTGCTGCAGGGCTGACTTCAGTGCTGCCACCTTTAATTATCACTTCATTGCAGTTCCACTCACAAAAACCTACATTCCAGTTTTCCTGAAAAAATCAGAAGATCTAGCAACACATTCCCACATGGGCTCAACTGTCCAATCAGGGAATAGTGTTCCAGATAGCAGGACCTGCCTTCTGCTTGCCAGAGTCTCCACTTGACCTGCTTCTGCAGACTTAAGTGTCTCACCCTTTCTCCAGCCATGACACAGCTTAATTAGCCAGGGCCAATGACACATGCTCTATATTTCAGAGATGATTGCATGCTTTCCAAAACCCAGCAGAATGTCAGGCAGAGCTCTATACAAATGAAGCTGCACTGGGAAAGAAGGCTAGAAGGGTATCCTGGGCTAGAGAGATACGTGACAGGAATTAAGGGTGATTGGAATGCGAGGATAATGGTTGACAAACAACAGGAAAAAAATCACAGAACTAAATTAGTCCTGTGGTTGGTAAGAGGTCCCATCAAAGGGCAATGTGGCTTAGTGAAAACAATATGGGCTGACTTGGCCGATTAGAAAATGATTTCATAGTTTTGCAAGTGCATAACCAGGGACAAGTTATTTATCCAAACTTCTATATGTTTGACTGTAAAATAGAGACCATGATACTATTTCCAGTGGTAAGGGAGTTAAATGAAAGAGTGTAAAGTTCCTTCGCCTTAGCTTGTTAATATAGATAACCAAACATTTTTCTTCCTAACCATTCATATTCATATTTCCCCTACAGTAACAAGGCAAGAAGAGCTTAGAAAGTGATGGTAAGTACCAGGCTCTTATTGGGCTTTACTTTCATAGGTCCAGATCTGGTTCCACTTAGCCCATGGCACCAGTAGCTGAAAATAAAGCAAAACCAGACATGACCCCTAACCTCACAGCCTATTTCCTTGGTGTTAGTTAAATAATAGTGCACGATGAATTGTAATATTGTGATGATGAGGACACTGTACAAAGAATAAATAATAAAGTAGCTCATACTTGTAAGAAAGTTTTAAAAAGCAGGGCACAGAATTGTAGTTATCCTAGAACCTGTGCAATAAAAATTACTCATAACCCATAACTCAAAAATGAACAATTACCAAAAAGAAAGTCAGCTTTGTCTTTTCTATATTAAGTACATCTACTCTGTACAGAGAATCAATTATTGAAAAATAAAGAACAGTATTGGGCCAGAGAAATAGCTCAGTGGGCTGGAGGTCACGCTCTGCACACAGAAAGCCTGGATTTAATCCTTATCATCACTTGGTCTCCAGCACTTTCAAGAGGGAGACACAAGCACTGAACCAGGAGTACCCCCTGAGCACTAACAATAAAAATTGAATAACAAAATAAGGAAATAAAATAATATGATAGTTGGTATTTTGGGGTTGTGGGTGGTTTTTACTTTATGGCTTTCTGTGTTTTGTAAGGTGCCTACAATGGACACCTATTAAATCAATTACATGTATTAAACCAACAAAACAAGAATTACATTTGTTAAAACTCAGTCACACACTGATAGAGCTTCTGTTCAGCAGTCATTGATTTCCTCTGTCCCTTTGTCCTTTATGCCTCCAGGGCAGGGCTCGTAGATCTCCACCAGGGCAGCACAGACACTGCGAGAGATGCTTCAACCGTCACTGCAACGTTCCCGTGGAACCCGATGTCTCCTGTTTGGTGATAAACTGCCGCCTGCTCTGTGGTGCCACTTTCCACATGTGCAAAGAAGCAGAACACGAACTCCTCTGCCCTTTGGAACAGGTTCCCTGCCTCAACTCTGAGTATGGCTGTCCCCTGTCCATGTCCCGCCACAAGCTGGCCAAGCACCTGCAGTTTTGCCCTGCCAGTGTGGTCTGCTGCTCCATGGAGTGGAATCGCTGGCCCAATGTGGACTCTGAAACACCTCTTCATGAGAACATCATGAAAGAGACCCCTAGTGAGGAGTGTTTGGATACAGCCTTGGCCCTCCAGGACCAGAAGGACCTTTTCAGCAGTTTGAAGATGGTTGAACTTTTCCCAGAAACTAGAGAGACCACCGAGCAGGAACGAACTATGAATGGTGGAACCAGCTGGGAGGAAATGGGAGGAGCAGTGGGTGGAGTGGATGCTTCTTTGGTACCTAATGGCTCTCTGTCAGCAATCAATGGAGAGATGGTAGAGTTGAGCCAGGAAGAAAGAGAGACATTAGCAAAGACTAAAGAAGGCATGGACCTGGTCAAGTTTGACAAGTGGGAAAATATATTCAGCAAAGAGCACGCGGCCTCAGCCTTAACACATTCATCCATGATCCGCGAGGGCACAAGCAACACTGGCTCTGGAAAAGAACAGATTTTCAGCAACAGAAACGCGGTAGAAAATGGTGCTGCCAATGGGAAAGACTCGGAGGAAAACCAGAAGCAAGAGGACTTTCATGCGGCTATCGAAACAACAGGGCTTGCTCCTTGGCAGGATGGTGTTTTGGAAAGGTTGAAAACAGCAGTGGATGCAAAGGACTATAACATGTATCTGGTGCACAATGGGAGAATGCTCATTCACTTCGGTCAGATGCCTGCTTGTACACCGAAGGAGAGAGATTTTGTCTATGGTAACCTTGAGGCTCAGGAAGTTAAGACTGTTTACACCTTCAAAGTTCCTGTGAGCTACTGTGGAAAGCGGGCTCGAGTTGGAGATGCCATGTTGAGTTGTAGTCCAAGTGAGAACAAGGCCGTAGACACTTCAGATTTAGGTGTCACTGTGAAAGACCTGCCCAAATCTGACCTTATCAAGACCACCCTGCTGTGTGCTTTGGAAAGAGAACTCAAAGGTCATGTCATCTCTGAGTCTAGGAGCATTGATGGGCTGTTCGTGGACTTTGCTACGCAGACATACAACTTTGAGCCAGAGTACTTCCCCTCCGGGACAGTACTGGCTGACCTCATAACGACCCCCCACACAGAGGGTCTCCATGTGGAACTCCACAGTGAATGTGTGACCAGAAGACACAACAAAAGCAGTTCTGCCTTCACCTTCACTTGCAACAAGTTTTTCAGGAGGGATGAGTTCCCGCTACATTTCAAGAATGTCCACACAGACATTCAATCGTGTCTCAATGGCTGGTTCCAGCATCGATGCCCCTTGGCCTATTTGGGATGTACATTTATTCAAAATCATTTCCGTCCCCCGGGGCAAAAAGCAAAATTGATCTATAGTCAGAAGCTCCAGACCTTTGCCATCAAACCTGAAGTTGCTTCAGAGTTGAGTGAGGGAAGGAAGAGTAATCACCTCTCTGGTCATGGAGAAAAAAGCCAGAAGTCTCTAACCAGCCTGCCTCTGGAGATTTTGCAGTACATTGCTGGGTTCTTGGACAGTGTCAGCCTTTCCCAACTCTCCCAGGTGTCTGTGCTGATGAGAAATATCTGTGCTACTTTGTTACAAGAGAGAGGAATGGTCCTTCTTCAGTGGAAGAAGAAGTATTCCCAGGGAGGCACCTCTTGGAATGTCTACAGAGAGGCAAGTATCACTTTGTTTACTCATCCATTCATTCAACACATATTACCTATGGGAATGTGTGTTCCTTACTAGGCACTGGAATTGAACAGAGAGCTGGAAATGGTTTCTGAACTCAAGATCAGGACGATCTATTGAGAACACAGACCAAAAAACATCTGCATGACAATACAGATGGTTCCTGTTTCCTCAATATTTATATCCTGTATATCTTCAGTGTTCACATGATCCATTCTCCAGTCTTTCTAATTTACATATCCATGATCTGCCTCAGTCAACTCCCTTGCCCTCCAGTTTTTAGTGCGACTAGACTAATAGGAGTGTTTCAGCAGGAGATAAGCAGGAAGAAGAATAAAGTTGACATATCTATTCTGATTTCATCCTAGCATGCGCTCTCTCCTCCATGATACTTTTTTTTTGTTAGTGAAACACCATGAGGTACAGTTGTAGACTTACAGATTTTTTGTGCTTGGGTTTCAGTTATACAATGACTGAGTACCCATCCCTCCACCAGTGCCCATTCCCCATGACCCTCCATTGAACGTGGTTATCTCAGGTGCCTATAGCCACACAATAACTTGTTATGGATCCAAGAATGAACTCCTTTCTTCCCTTTCATGTCTAGAGAAGTAATACTTTTCAGTATAAGTATTGTGTGATATCTCGTGGCTTTCCAATATTCCATTCAACACACATTTGAAAGTCATTCATTTTAAAAATTCTTTTCAAATTACTCAATTTGATAATGCCATATGATTTCTTCCTGGTCTCTACCTAATATTGTAGGCCAACATTCCCAGGTCAAATAATGTTTTAGAACAGATTTTCCCTTGAGAAGGTTACTTTTACATTCTATTTTATTATTTTTGTTTTGTTTTGTTTTGCTTTTGGGTCACACCCAGCAATGCCCCAGGGTTACTCTTGACTCTGCACTCAGGAATTACTCCTGGTGGTGTTGGGGGACCATATGGGATGCTGGGAATCAAACCCACTTCTGTTGTGTGCTGATATATATATATATATATATATATATATATGTGGGCTGGAGCAATAGCACAGCGGTAGGGCATTTGCCTTGCACGCAGCCAGCTCCACCGACCTGGGTTTGATTCCTCCACCCCTCTCGGAGAGCCCGGCAAGCTACCGAGAGTACCTTGCCCGCACGGCAAAGCCTGGCAAGCTATCCATGACATATTCAATATGCCAAACACAGTAACAACAAGTCTCAAAATGGAGATGTTACTGGGCCCACTTGAGCAAATCGATGAACAATGGGAGGACAGTGAGAGTGACATATACATATATATATATATATATATATATATATCTTGATATTTTCCATTTTTAATTGCATGGGCACTCATCTTCAGAAAATAATTCAAAACTCTCCTTTATCATGTATTCCTGCCTATATCCATGTTTTAAATAAAACTTACTACATCCTAGAGATAAATAGTGCAGAGAAAACCCTGCCTTTGAGACTCCTATTGTCCATAAATGCCTCATATCTTCCTCTATAAAACAAGATATAAATAATTTAATTTATATACTAGATATTTAATTTTTCTGGTTAAATTTTGTCTCCAATTTAAAGATTCCTGACTATTCTTGAATATTATTTGGAGCAAACTAATTTCCACATAGAAAGAAAATTTAGTTAGGGCTGCTAATAATAGTAGCGTGATAATACGATTACAATACTATTATAATAATAGGTTACTCATATTAAAACAGTTCTTGAAGAGAGAAAAATGTGGAAAGTGGTCTTATTGGAAAAGCTATGTGTCAAAGCCAGGAGTAAGTCAATGAGCACAACTGGATGTGCTCCTGCCACGCCCGCCCTCCGCCCCCAAAGAGCTATGTCAGCTTGCTGAGTGAAGGCATTCAGGAGGAGAGAGATAGATACAGAATGATCTCCCCATCACATGCGGGATATAAATAAACAGCAAGAGAATAACAAATTGCTGAAGGCAAGAGATCAGGAGAGCTGGTTCACACACTGAGCCTACGTGGTGGGGAGTGGGATGGAGAAGGAAGGAGATGGAGGTTGGAGAGAGGGAACACTGAGACAATGGTGGGAAGAAGAGGACACCGCGGTGGAGGGTATGGTGTTGGGACACTGTATGCAAGAAACCCTGTATTAACAATGTTACAAATTATGGTGCCTCAAGTAAAATTTTTTTTTTCTTTTTGGGTCACACCCAGCGATGCTCAGGGGTCACTCCTGGCTCGTGCACTTAGGAATTACTTCTGGCAGTGTTCAGGGGACCATATGGGATTCTGGGGATCAAACCTGGGTCATCCGCGTGCAAGGCAAATGCCCTACCCGCTGTGTTATTACTCCAGCCCTCAAGTAAAAATTTTAAACGTTAAAAAATTGAAAGAAAAGAAAGGCCCATTAGATTATACATGCACTCACAGTCAATTTTTTAAACTAGGAACTTGGCTATCATAATCTTCATAGAAAGGTCAGAGGGGCCTGAGTTTCAAATCTATATGGCTCCTATTATAGAGATCTGGTCAAGTAAAAATTCTACTCATTAGGATACTTTAAGTTTCAAGAAATACAAAAGCGATATAAAGTGGCATAAAAAATAAAGGTAATTTATAGGTTCTTATAATTTAAAAGCCCAAAGATCAAAGCCTTTCCTTAGGAAAGACTTGACTTGGCAGCTCAAAAAATGTTCTCAGTGATCTCTTCTATTTTGATTCCTTGTTTCTACTTTCTCAATGGTGGCTTCTTTCTGAGAGACAGTTTCCCCATGGTGGTCCCTGGTGATTTCCAGCAGCAACTAAACATATAGTTTTTCAGTTAAGTACAGAGGGAACCACAAACAAATTCTGGAGTACTCTGTTTGACACTAAATACACTGATTTGAATCATGTGTCTATTCTAGAACTAACCAGTTTGGGAATTTGGAAGTAGGGGGCTACAGTATCAACGGGCAGATGGTCTTAGTCATTTCCATGTAACTACATGGTCATTTGGGAAATTGCCAATTAGAAGGGGAATCTGGGGACCTGACACTAGGAAAGAAACTAACAAATGTCAGCAAGCAATCACCACTAAGCATTTTTTTTCACAGCTGGGAAGGACACCAGAAATATATTCACTTAAATTATTCCAATAGAGCCAGGTCAGGGACATTGCGCCACTGATCACTTTTGAGCCTCTCTCTTTCCCAACAGATCTGGCAGTTCAGCAGCCTCTTCTCCAAAATCAAGAGCTGGGAGTTTAATGAAGTCGCATCCATGTCTGAACACCTGAAAACCTGTCCTTTCAATGTAGTTGAGCACAAGACGGACCCAATTCGTTTGATATGCATGTGTCAGCCCCAAGAGCAAGCCCGAGAGAGCTTAGTAACAACGTTTAGAGCTAAATCTCGAGGAAGACACAACTACTAAAAATGCAGTTGTCACTGTTCTTGGATTTCTCCTTGGTGTTACTGAAAGTAGGATGAAGTGTAGTCTGGAGGACGCCTCTGAAAAAATTCCCTAAAGGATGCCATGCCCATAGTAATGTGTAGGTATGCTTCTTAGTATAACAAAATCTGATCACACAATTATCTAAGTTGCTCACATAGTTACAATACTTATATAACGGTTATGATTCCATATAGATCTTCCTGTGTAGTTATCTACTCATTGGTACTTAGATACATAGTGGCTTTAAGATGGGAGCCAAGTGGAACTGATTTATTTAATGTGATTTCATATTTTTGGGTCACATTCAAAAAGATATCCATTCAGCAATCTCCAGATGTAATTGGAGCCAGAAACCTTATTTATCTATGTTTATCTCCCCCTCACCTTAATCGATGACATTTTTCCTGCAGTTCTAGCAGTCATCAAGCAAGGGAAAAAGAAGGGAAAATATGGACAGCCATTATGGGAAAGCCAGGAACAATAAACAGCCAAAAACAGACTCCAGTCACTCTATGTGCTTTGTTGCCTAGGTCTCTTTCTCTGAATCCAGTGTGGAACTGGGATGGACAAAGTAGATGACATCTCTGTGAAAAGTCAAATGCATCAGGACAATGTAAGGGCAGAAGCAGGCTCATCTGTTAATTATAATTAAAATATACCACTTGGTAATATTTGGTAATAGTTTCTCCCCTTTCCTTGTTATTTGTTTTATATCTCACATTGGTATATAAGGTACCATTTTCTAAAAATATAACTAGAGTGTGAGTGAAGATGGCAATCAGATGAGTAACTAAAGGGTGAGTAACTGACAACCACCACAGATGTTGGAGGAAAGAGTTCTACTCATGTCAGTTACATGTGTTTTGAATCTAATCCTTCCCTATGAAGAACAAACGTTCCTAAAGTTGACTCTTGATTTACTTAACTAGGAAAAGAGAGAAAGTGGAGCTACTAATCAAGGATGATGAAAATCAGGGGCCATTGTTAGAAGGATGGAAAGAATAAAGAAAAGACAAGATCAGAGACTTTTTCTTTACAAGTTGGGGTCCTTTACAACATGGACAGAGGTAGTCCATGTTTAGCAGAGCAGCTGAGAGTGTTCTCACTGTGGGATGCACACTTCCAGCTGTGATTTACTCTCATAGTTACTGCCTGCAGAAGAATTTGAAAAGTTCCACAGTTTTAAAAACATTTCTAATGTTATGCATTGCAGAAAACCATGTTAATGCAGGTATCTACTTGTTTATGTAAAGTACACATTAATGGTGAGAGTGTGGTTAGAACAAAAGAGAAGCCTTTTGTTAAATATATTAAACAAAATATGTTATGAGGCTGCAGTGAGTTTAATATATTAATATATTAAACAAAATATGTTATGAGACTGCAGTGAATTGAGTTATGTGTTATGTGAGTTGAGTGAAAAGCAAGAAATCTAGACATGGCTTCAGATTAAGAAGAAATCAAGGGGCATGTGTACTCAGGAATAAGAGCCTATGAGAAGATCCTTAAATGCGTTATCACCACCCAAATAGTGCAGAATAGAAATCAGCCAAACATGAAAGAGCAAATCTGAGTAACTCAAGGAGAAAGAGTCTTAATGCCTAATTGTCACTGGCATCGGCAAGAGAAGTCTCTATTTTAAATTAAAGGAAACACAAAAAGTAAGGTTAACAGGCAAGCCACTGTAAAAGTCTGATTCATGTGTGATGTCCCATCAAATTAAAGTGAAAAATTAGATTGTGATTTGGGGTGACTGAATTGCCTCTATACCTGCTTCTATTATCTGCTATTTCCCAAGCTTATATGTTTGCATTTAAATATTGTTTGGGTTTATGAAAAAGGCCAGGACCTTGACATCCAGGATGCTAGGAGATAGATAGATCCTATCCATAAAATATAAAGATAGAATCATCTTGATAATCTTGAATGAGGAGGGAAAAAGTTTGAGCCACAAGAATCAGAGTCATTGAGAGCAGCACACAATGTTTGCTTCAGCATAGAGATAAACCACACTTTATTTCCAATTGGAGGAGTGAATAGAGAGAAGATTCAGGTATATCTCCACAGGGAATGAAAGTGGTCAGACAGCACAGCCAGGCAAACCAAGCAGTCTGGACAGACCTTCCTATATGAGCCAACTGCGAAGCACAGAACTCATAAACAGGAAGCAAGCAAGATCTTGAAGTGTTAGAGGAAAATCCTGGGGATGGAGACTGTAACATACGTTAGTGAACCCATTAGGGTAGAGCGGGACTTGGAGGGAGAAGATCCCTTCCTCTAGCTCCCTCTACTTCAAGCCAGGAAAACCTGTGTAAGAGCCTCGGGAAACTCTTGACATTGTTTCAACTGCAGCAAGAATGAAAGGGTACAAACAGAGTCATTTTGGACACCAGATGTCACAGTACAGAAGACGGGGTGGGGGGTGCTGGTTACTGGAGGAGCTTAACGTAATTTGCAGGGAAAAGTCCAAAGTGTCCACGGCAACGTCCACGCCACCAGCCCTCATCCACCATCTCAATTTCAGTGATGACATCATCTGGATCAAAGGAAATCTCGTCGCTTCCCTCTGGGGAGGAAATTGGTGGGAGATTAGGTTGGGCACACAGGTACATCTCTCTATCCTACTCTAAACCTTTGGGAGGAAAATAGATCTGGATTTTTGTTTGTTTCTTTAGTTTGGGGGCCAGACCCAGTGGTGCTCAGGGGTAAGTCCTGGTTCTGCACTCAGGAATTACTCCTAGTAGACTTGGGGGACCATATGGGATGCCAGGGATTGAACCCAAGTCAGCTGTGTGCAAGACAAGAGCCATATATGCTGTATAGTCTCTGGCCAATCCAGTCTTGATGCCAATCCTGACCCCAGAACCTACTTCCACCTCTTGTTTCAAGGAAATCCCGTACCAGGCTCCCAACTCCATACCTTTCCCAACTTACCTCCTTGGTAGTCATAGAGAGCTACAGCTGAGAGTCCAGCCCCAGTCCCAGATGGGCAGCCTGCTGATCCTGCATGATGAGAAATATGCATATGGTTCAGAGCAAAGAAGAAAAACAGGTCCTTCTGCATAAAAGGAAGTCTGTCTTACCCACACCACAGTCTGCCCGCATTTAGGAGCTGCTTCTCCCCCCACCACTCACCAGGCACAGTGGAGGGGAAAGAAGATTCTGGCTCCAAAACATCCTCATAGTCCCCCTCTGGCCCAGCGTCCTGCTCATGGGCACCCACTTCCACAACATCCTCATAGTCATTCTCAGGCTCCAGCTCCGGCTCCAGCTCCGGCTCTGGCTCTGCTTCATACACTGGCTCGGGCTCTGCTTCATATTCTGGCTCAGGCTCTACTTCATACACTGGCTCTTCCTGTAGCTGGAAGCCCTCTGGAGTCCTAGGGGGCAGGGCTGGGGGCTCCTCATTGTCCTGAGAAGAGACAGGGTAGTACAAGCATGACTTCCATTCACCAAGAGTGAAACTTCCCAAAGGAGAGCTGTCCAGATCCTGCCTTCATCCTCCTGCCCCTTCGATGCCCCATCCTTGTCTTCTTATAACAGCATCTACTGGGCAGCATAGCTCTGTGTCCAGGCTCACTCATCAACCTCCTCCCACAATCACCCACTAAACCCAAAGATGATGGGAGAGGAATCTTAAAGGTGTGAGGGGAGGCTAGTGCCACACAAGTCCTGGGAAAACAGGAAAGAATTGAAGGAAAAGTTTGGTGTTGAGAATATTACTGTTAAAAAGGACAACTGTTCTCATCCTCTCTGGACAGAGTGATTCCCCAGGGAGTAGGGCTTTCAGTAGAAACACGAGGTCAGTTCCAGGCAAGCCAGGATAGTTGGCCACCAGTATGACCCACTTTCCTGGGACCTGAAGGAAATCTTTTAATTTCTGCTTACCTCTGGTGGATTATGCCTTGAGGGAAGAGCAGTCATTGGGTGCTTCCTGTCGGTTTTCATCGGGTCAGGCTCTGATGAGAGACTGGTTCCTGCTGGAGGCCAGGCCTGGGAGAGGGAAGCATCTCTCTAGTAAGCAACAAACTTCTATCTTTACTGTCACACTGACCTAAAATATACCTCCTATCTCTACAAGTCCTAATCAAATGGGCTCTTATCAAAATTTACAGCAACCCTCCCTTGGTTCCTAACCCAAGAGTCAGCTGCAATTATTGGTGACTTGTTTTCTGTTGCACTGTGAAAATCTTGGCTATTTTCTAGCATTCTGGAGTATACGAGACCGAACTACAGATCTAAAACCTCATAAAGAAAGGGATGGTAGTATATTGACTTCGCTCTATCGTATAATCTACCAGTGATAACAGCCTGGTAAATTATCTGAGAAGGAATCCTGAGTGACCATGTACCAACAAACACTTGCCTCTGAAGATATTTTCTTAGGCAACGGAGCTGGCACCACTGGCTCTCCTGCAGTGGTAGCTGGCGGCTGGGTCTCATGGCTTATCTTTACTAGGGTCTTTCTCTCCTGCTGTTGCTTGGCCATTTTCTTTGCCTGTTCTTCTTCTTCCTGTTTCCTCTTCTCCTCAGCCATAGACTCAAATTTTGCTTTCAATCCACGGGCACCACTAGAAGCTGGAAACAAGAATACGTTGTTGTCTGAGGTTGGGAAGAAAGTGATGGAAGTAGGTGGTGCTTAAAGAGAGAAGAATCAGCTAAATACCCAGGAAGAGAGTCAAGCAGAATGATCCAAGTAGTGGAGCACTTGCTTAGCATGGGCAAGGCTGTGAATTCTCTCCTAGACACTATGAACCCAACAACATTGCCAGGTGTCAGTCTAAAAGTTCACAAATACAGCAAGACCAGATGCTGGGTATGCCCAGGGTGAATGTTATGGGAGTTATTCCAAGATCCACAGCATGACCCCAGTAAAAAATATCCAGGAGGATATAGGAAGAAGAAGGCACAAAAGGTGTCAGGGGTTGGTTGGGTGGGGTGGAGAGATAAAGAGTTGCTGATGGAGGAGTTAGGGCCTAAGAGCAGGAAAATGGAAGCCTTAAAGACTATATTTCCAGGCCATACAATCTTAGACATTTATCTTTTCTACATGTTAAGCCTTTGTCCCTGACCAATATCCGTTCCTATCCACATTTCTTAAATCTGACTGCCCTCCCTCTGGGCACCACCAATCCTCTTCCCTCTGCCCCACGGTATTATCTCTACATATTCTTCCTTGTGGTTCCCCATTTATCCCTTCCTGTGTTCCTTACCGTTCAGTTCCTTCTCAGCATCACTATCCCCCACCTTTGTACTTTAATTAAGGTGCTAAAATTTACAGTATCATCAATGATACTTCCTTGCATACATTGTCCCAACACTAATACATTGCAAGCACTATCAGTTTGTCTCCACCAATGTCCCAACAACCCCTCCCATCCACCTCCCTCTATCCCACATCCCAAAGATCTCATTCTAGAGTCCCCATTGCTTCTCTCTCTTCTCTCTTCTCTCTTCTCTCTCTTCTCTCTTCTTTCTCTCTCTCTCTCTCTCTCTCTCTCTCTCTCTCTCTCTCTCTCTCTCTCTCTCCAAAATCTAGTTTTTCTAAGAAAGAAAACTGGAAATAAGAAGGTATGAGTAAAGTCAGTTTCAGTTATTCTAGGAAGCTGAAGGCATGGAGGGAAATAAAAAATTAATCAGGGAAAGTTGAGGAGCACATAGGGAAGAAATTATTAACACTCACCAGCCTCTATGGGTGTTGTCTTCTGGTAAGCTGTTGTTGGAGCCTCCATTTCACTAAAACCAGCAGCACTCTGAGAACAATACATTTAGTGGGGGACAAGGGAGGAGGAAAAGGAAGTAGTAGTCAGCCAGAGGGCATATTGGGGATTTTGGTTACTATCAAAGACATGCCCAACCATGTTATTCTCAATAATTGCACAAATCATTCCAATACTATTGTCTTGTGGTAGATGAGTCAAGAGATTCTAAACTGGAAGATTCAGATTCCCTGTTTGAAAGCTAAGTGTACCTAGATTCTTATATCTTTGAGTCTAGTTCTTAGAATTCAGCAAAGTCTTGTCAGTGAATGAAGAGAAACTTGTGTAGGGAAAGACAGTGATATGGGTTAGAAAAGACATTATGGATAGGGTGAATGGATGCCAATATAATTCAAATATCACCTTCATCTCTCTCTCTGTTTCTATCACTCACTCTCCCCTCCACTATCATTAGGTAAAATCCCTGAAATCTTGCCTCTTATATGCTGAGTACCAATGGTGAGTGAAGGACATTAAGAAGACAGCTCAGGGAGCTTATTTGGCCATTGTTTAGCTCTACTCTTCTCTGTATACTTCTAGTACAGAAACTGCTTTCAAAATCACCATATTCTAGAAGTTTACCTTATCCATTCTGTCCTTCTGAATTCCATACTGACCGCCAAAGCCCTTTGCATAGTCTGCAAGATAGAGAAATCTAACAGTCAGTAACAAGTTCAGTAATCCTGAGAAACAGGTGGGGAAGGGAAAGAGTGAAAAGCCAGAAGAAAGAAATGTGAAAAACACAAAGAATGATTATGAGGAAGTCTGACAATAAAAGGTCTGAGAGTGGCATGGATGAGAGAAAGTGAGAAAGATAGGAAAAAATATTTGAAAGAGAACGAAGGAGAGATAGAAAACGGAAAACAAAAGAAAAGGAGACCATAGGCAGGGAAAATGGAGAAGTCTAGGAGATGATACAGCAGTTAGGATCCGTCTAGCATGAGGATTCCCAAAACCATATGTGCCCCTGAGCATTGTTTGATGCAGTCCTGGAGGCTCCTGAGCACTGATGGGTGTGACCCTGGAGACCTCCAGCACTGGTAGGGTGGCCCAAGTATCCCTAAGTGCCACAAGGCCTGAAAAACATCACATTCTCGGGCCCATGAATTGAACTGTCAATCTGGTTAGGCAAGCATCACAGGTGCCCCCCACTCCCACCACCCGACCTCCTGAGCACTGCTTGGTAGCACTCCCCCCAAGCCAGAAGGTATGAGACGCCAGAGACATAGCTCAAGGGACTGAGTGCTTGCTTTGCATACAGGAGGCCTTGGTTCAATTCCTGGCGCCTCACAGTAGCCTAGGCACTGCTGGGAACAACACCTGAGCACAGAGCCAGGAACATCTCCAGCACTACCAGAAGTGGCAAAATAATAGCCAAACCCAAACAACAACAATAATAATTACATCCCTTCAGCCACACCCTCTGTCTCCCTGGGAAGGAAGCCTTTTAGTGCTCTCGGTGAGGCAGAGTGGCTTCTAAGGCTCATAATCAAACCACATCACCCCCCAGCCGGTTTCTCAATGACCGCTTCTCTTGAGCCTCCTCTGTCCTGCTCCTAATCTTTCAGGTGCCGTTCCACCATCAGAAAGAGACCTTTATTCCCCTCCCACCACTTCTGCCACACACCTGCCCCTCTGTATTCTGGATTCCTGCATCAGCTTTCAGAAAGAAAGGAAATAGAGTTCTGTGCCACTCTATGACTCCTTCTTCTCCATTCCCAACTCACCTTTTTGGGATTCATGTTTCTCTGTCTCTCCCTTGTAGTCGTATCCCAGAGCTGCCTTGTCACGCTTATCCTTCTCTATTCCATAACGGCCACCAAAACCACGTGAGTAATCTACAGTGGAAAGAACAGTCATGAGAGCTCGTTCGGCACACAGGAAAGCGCTATTGAAGAGAACAGTCAGGAAGAACCAGTGCAGGGTGATAGAACAGAGATTCAATATGCGTGAATTAGAGAGGGACAGTAGGCTGGACACTTGCCTTGCGCAATGCTGACCTGGCTCAATTTCCAATTCCCTGCATATGGCCCCAAGAGCCCTTCCAGGAGTGATCCCTGAGTACAGAGCTAGGAATAAGCTCTGAACAATGTCAGGTATAGCCTCAAAACAAAACAATAAAAAACCCAAAAAAGCGTTTTAAGCCATATTTTGCATGAGTTAGTTAATATTGTTTACTTTTTCTCTTTCCTCCCTTATTTCCAGCCCGATGAAATGATCATTTTAACTGTTTCCCTTCCTTTAGGAAGGGGAAAGTACATAATGTGTAAGGAGGAGCATCCAGTCACATATGAAATCTATGACTTTACCTATTCTCATATAAATATCTATAAATATCAACTAAAATAGAATAATCTATTTTTTAGGTAGGGTGGGGCCTCCCAACTGTTCTTGGGAACCTCCCAACTGTCTAGGTAATCCAGACAGTGCCACACCTATATTGGATGCTGGGACCACCAGAGCAATATCCGGTGGTGCTCTGAGTGTCATGTAGTGTCAGAACTCAGTTTGTGACCTTGGACATGGAAGGCATTTGTTCTATCCCTTTGAGCTAGATATACAGCCTAACAAAAATGTTGAACAGTAAATTCTAAGTGAAAAGAAAGAAAATTCTGCCCAGAAGCAATTAGATTTATCAAAGTAGTAGACACAACGATAATCATGAAGTGATACCACAGAACATCAAAAGATGGGTTTATTTTATGTATCAAAAATTATTTTATATTCATTTTTCACATGCTAAGAGAGATAAGGGCTGGAGCAATAGCATAGCAGTAGGGCATTTGCCTTGTGCACAGCCAGCGCGATTGAGCTGGGTTCGATTCCTCTGCCCCTCTCGGAGAGCGCAGCAAGCTACTGAGAGTATCTCGCCTGCACAGCAAAGCCTGGCAGGCTACCCGTGATGTATTCAATATGCCAAACACAGTAACAACAGTCTTAAAATGGAGACGTTACTGGGCCCGCTCGAGCAAATTGATGAACAACGGGAGGACAGTGTTTGTTTGTTTTTTGACAAGAGAGATAAATTTTGATCGAATATATCTGGTAAATGACAAACGCAAAATTTAGTGCATGCTCTAAAAAATTATGATTTTTAAATTTTCTTACATGCATTTACTATATATTTGTGGCACAGTTCAGGCATATGACATACTAGTCCTGAACTGTACCACTGGTTCTGAGTACCTTGAAATGAAGGTCAAATAGTTCTTTTTTAAAATTTTATTTTATTTGTATAAAGTAGTTCACAACATTTGATTATTTTTTAAAAATAAATGATTTATTTATTTACTTTGCTTTTTTGGGGGGTCACACCCGGTGATGCTCAGGAGTTATTCCTGGCAGAGTGCTCAGGAAACCATATGGGATGCTGGGGATTGAACCTTGGTGGCTACATGCAAGGCAAATGCTCTCCCTGCTGTCCTATTGCTCCAGCCTCTATTTGATTATGTTTACTGCTGGAACACCAACCCTACCACCATGACACCTTCCCACCACCATATTTCGAATGTTTCCATTCTGAACCCCAATCCCTGCCCCAAAGCAGAACCAAAATAATTTATTTTGCATTGTTTGTTATGAATAATCTGCTGAAAATGATCCAAAAATATTTCTTAGAGGAAAGTGTGTGAAGATTGTTATACTTCACCCAGGAGACTAACATGTTGTAAAAGGCTGAGCCTTGTGTGCTTATATATCTCTATATCTGTATAAATGTATTTCCCCCCAAGATTGGTCACCTCAACTTTAAACCCCATCGAATGTGGTGTGAATATGAGTGGTGTGAGGTACGAGGTGTCCAGGAGCAAGTTTATTCATGGGTGAGGCTTGACCTGAGTGTGTAGAGGGTGTCATGAGCACAGCAGTGGTTGAATTCTGTAGGTTTCAGGTTGCCAGGACTGGGTCCCTTGGGGTGCGGAGGGGCCTCACCCACTTCCCTCCAGGTTTCCCTGAATGAAACAGTCTGCTTCAGGGTCCTGTGGCATCTTGTTTTGTGCTTTCTTCCAAGAGATTTATAATGAGTCTCTGGATCATGGCTATTAGTGAGATTATATGGCACCAGCTAGAGGTGGCTTGTGGGGGTGACTGCCAAGTTGCCAGAAACGGGGAGACGGGGTCTAAAGATGTTTGAAGTTCCATTTTTCCCCCCTTGGAATTAGGATTTGCTCGAGCAGGCCCAGTAACGTCTCCATTGGAGACTTTGTTGTTACTGTGTCTGGCATATCGAATACATCACGGGGAGCTTGCCAGGCTCTGCTGTGCGGGCGAGATACTCTCCGTAGCTTGCCGGGCTCTCCGAGAGGGGCGGAGGAATCGAACTCGGGTCGGCCATGTTGGCCGCGTGTAAGGCGAACGCCCTACCCGCTGTGCATAAAACTGCATTCAGAAATGACATGATTATATAGAAAATTGGGATGTATGAACAGACTTCTGTAACTAGTAAGAAAGACTGTAAGCAATAAAGTTTACATACAAAGAACAATTAATTTCCTATGTACCAACAATTATAACAGTGGAATTTTAAATTAAGAACACAATGCCATTCACCTTAGCAACCCTAACAAAGAAATACTTAGTTATGTATTTGTGCATAGGTACAGGATCTATGTGAGGAAAAAATGCAGAACTCTGGTGAATAAAATCAAGAAAAATTAAAATTTGAGACATTTCAGGCTTACAGGTTTGAACTCAATTTTGTTATCAGTTCTTACTTACAACTTAATTTATATATGCAATGCAGTCACAACAAAAATCCAACAAGCGATTTTTCAAATATCAACCAATTAATTTATATTTTAAATTAAGTACATGGTTTATTTTAAATTGAGTATATTTTAAATTGAGTACATGGTTTGCATGCAGAAGGCCCAGGTCCATCCTCAGTCCAAGTGTGGCCACAGAACAAAAGACAAAAGCCAAACAAACAAACGGAACCAATACTAGATAACAGTAATGGTCCAGCAGTTATAAAGAATGTAGACTGTACAAGGAATATAAATAAGCTATTCTATGCTTAATATATTACCCAGGAATAAACTATGATTAATTTTAAAATTGTCGCACCTGGCAATACTCAGGAATCACTCCTGGTGGTGTTCAAGGGACCGTATGGGACACCAGGTATCAAACCCATGAAAGACAAGTGTTCTACCTTCTACATTATCTTTCCAGAACCTAATTTTAAAGTTAAAGCAAAGATGCATGCTAAAACTTAGAAATCTAACCTCCTAAAATAATCCATTCGAGGACAAGAGAAAATTTAATTGATTTCATAGAAAACAATAAAGGAAGATGAAGTACACAAGGGCTGGAGCGATAGCACAGCGGTAGGGCGTTTGCCTTGTGTGCAGCCAACATGGCCGACCCGAGTTCGATTCCTCTGCCCCTCTCGGAGAGCCCGGCAAGCTACTGAGAGTACCTCGCCCGCACGGCAGAGCCTGGCAAGCTACTCGTGACGTGTTCGATATGCCAGACACAGTAACAACAAAGTCTCCAATGGAGACGTTACTGGGCCCGCTCAAGCAAATGGATGAACAACGGGAGGACAGTGACAGTGACAGTGAAGTTCACACTTGTGTTTCACACAAATGAAATAATAGATAATGAAAGAATGTTAGTCACAGGTGATGGGAGCTACAGTCTGAGCAGAGTAGCAGGACTGGCTCCAAGGCCAGAGGGGGGTGCTTGCCTTTCTGCGACGTGTGTTTCTCCACTTCTCCTTTGTAATCAAAGCCAACTGCAGACTACAAAGACAGTAAGAGAAAATTGGTTAGAGTGGGAACTGACAGTTTTCCTCTTCTCTCACTTACTCCACGTCTGTCCAGTGTTAGTTAATAGGGCCCCAGGTCAAGTATGGGTGTTTCCTGCAGAACACATAGCACTGATAGTCTGGTGTGGAGGCAATGAACATGGGTTCTGGGCACAAAGTGCCTAGATTAATACTCAGTCTTATTTTCCCAATTTATATTGTTTAACTGATGTAAGTCTTTGAATGTCTTTTAGCCTCATTCTTTTAAAATATAAACTCAAAATAGGCATGACTACTTCATTAATCTCAACTATAAAATAGGACATTGATACCTCCTATTGTGAGGGCTAACTGGGGAACGTAGATAAAGCAACAGCAAATTGGGGTTTTCTTCTACCTCATAACATTAAAATGTGGTGAAAATAGGAAAAGTATCTCTTAAACCTAAAGTACTATGTGCATGTGAGAGGTATCATTATCTTGAATATTACTGTGGCTTTTGTCTTTCCACGGGTATCTGTAGAAACACAGAGAGGTAGATATTGGTGGGATGAGAGGGTCCAGGAGAGACTGAATCCAAACTGGCTGGGGAGAAGATAAATTGGACTTATGAAACTTCACGGCTGGAACTGGAAGTCTATGTCAGTAACTATGGATCTCTCTGCAAGTCTAGATTCTATATCTTAAGAGCTATTCATATGTATTACTTCTTAAGTATATGGTAAACCGTTTTTGGCAATTCAATTTGTGGCTCATGAGACAGAAAATTACAGAAAGGAATGAAAAATCAAGGAAAGGAAAGAAGCCCCAGTGGAATGTGAAATTCTACAAATATTAGAAAAGAGTATTATAGGTTGCATGCTCCAGGACTGCACTAAAAACTACCTTCTTCAGTTTTCCTTTCCATTACAGTTTGCTAAACTTTTTCCGGGTGTTTTTTCCTCAACGATACTAGCAGATAACATTCTAGCATAAGGATTCAGGGAAACTCAATTGACAACTGCAGGTTTAAGAGAGGGTCAGGAGCAATGGTTCAGTGAGTAGGACACTGGCCGCATGCAGCCAAGACCACTGACACCTCGTACAGTTCCCCACATTCTGTCAGGTGTGATCATTGAACACAGAGCCAGGAATAAGCCCTGAGCACCTCTCGGTGTGGTCCCAAAACAAAATAAAACAAAATAGCTAACAGTGAAGGACAGCTCCACTCTGTATGCAGCTTCGGGAGTAAAGGAACCTGTATGGAAGAACAAAGTGACTTTCTCTTGAATCTTCTACACTTTGATTCTTCTTACATAGAGTGCACCATGGAGAAATGAAACTGGAGCTGGGAAAATAACTCACAGGCTATCTCAAAGGGATAACTCAAAAGGCACGAGCTTTGCCTGCAGGAGGCCCAGATTCAATCTCAGCACTGCATGGGCCCTCAAGCAATGAGACAGCAACAGTCCCTCCCCCCACCCCCACCACTACTGGGTGTGCCTCTAAATCAAAACTAAAGAAAATAGTTCAAAGCATCTTATCTCCTTGGGTATATAAAATAGAATACTAATGAATCATCACCAAACTGTTGCTGTATCTTAAAAGCAGATGTTTTGGCCCTTGCTTCATAGTTGGAATCCTGTCTCATGAGCTGGGGGAGAAGGCTGCTGCAATAGAGAAGGGATCACTAAGTCAATGATGGTTGGAGGGATTGTTGGGGATGGGAGATGTGTGCTGACAAAAAAATAAAGAACCAAACATGATAGCCGTGTAATCCCATCAGCAGCCAAGACTCAGAGACTATAAAATCCAGATCCCGGAACCGTGCGGCCGCATTGGCGGCCGCGCACCATCTTATCAGAACTTTTTTAATGACATCTTATTGTCTCATTCCTACTTTGGACAAACTTGCAGGCTATCGAATGTAGCCTGCCCACAGGGCAGAGTCTGGCAAACTCCCCGTGGCATTCCCAATATGCCAAATACCAGTAACAATGATGGGTCTCATTCTCCTAAAGAGCCTTGAATATAATCTCAGGGCTAGGATGAAAGAGACGTTACTGGGGCCTGCTCGAGGCAATCGACGAATAACAGGATGATGAAATGAAATGAAATGAATCTGTATTGCAAACCATAATGCCCCAAAACAGAAAGAGAGTAAGAAGGAAATTGTCTGCCATAGAGGCAGGAGGAAGGGTGGGATGGGGTGGGGGTGGGGGGTGGAGGATACTGGGACATTGGTAGTGGAGAACGTACACTGGTGGAAGGATGGGTGATTAATCATTGTATGACTGAAATGCAAACATGAAAGTTTTGTAACTGTATCTCACAGTTATTCAATATAAAGAATTTTTAAAATTTAAATTTTTTTCAGGTTTTTTTTTATTAGTGAAACACCATGAGGTACAGTTATAGACTTACAAATTTTTGTGCTTGGGTTTCAGTTATACAATGATCAAGTACCCATCCCTCCACCAGAGGCCCATCCTCCACCACCTCAGGTCCCAGCATCCCTCCCACCCTCCATCGCCCCCATCCCACCCTGCCTCTGTGGCAGGGCATTCCCTTTTGTTCTCTCTCTCTCCTTTTGAGTCCTGTGGTTTGCAAGAGAGGCATTGAGTGGTAATCATGTTTGGTCTATAGTCTACTTTCAGCATGCTTCTCCCATCCTGGGAGGATCCTCCCAACACCCTTTATTTGGTGCTCCCTTGTCTATCTGAGCTTCCTTTTTTCATAGCATGTATGGCTGGTCTCCAAGTCATGGAGCAAAATTCCTGGTACTAATCTCGGCCACTCAGTAGGGCATTTGCCTTGCACGCAGCTAACATGGCCAACCCAAGTTCGATTCCTCGGCCCCTCTCGGAGAGCCCGGCAAGCTACCGAGAGTATCTCGCCCACACAGCAGAGCCTGGCAAGCTACCCATGAAGTATTCATATGCCAAACACAGTAACAACAAAGTCTCCAATGGAGAAGTTAGTGGGCCCACTCGAGAAAATCGATGATCAACGGGAGGGCCTTTACCTTTACCTTTATCTTTTGTTACTTTATGTTCCCCAGATGAATGCAATCTTTCTGTGTCTATCCTGCTCTTTCTGCCTCATTTCACTTAACATGATACTTTCCATGTGGTACCACTTGTATGTAAATTTCATGACTTCATCTTTTCTAATAGCTACATAGTACTCCATTGTGTAAATTTACCAAAGTTTCTTTAACCAGTCATCTGTTCTCGGGGAACTCAGGTTTTTTCCAGATTCTGGCTATTGTAAAGAGTGCTGCAATGAACAAACAAGTGCAGGTGTCACTTCGACTATACTTTTTTGCCTCTCTGGGATATATTCCCAGAAGTGAAAAACTCATCTCAATAGCCAGAGCAAATACAGACTCAAAGTCAAAGGATGGAAAATAATCCTGCAAGCAAACAGCTCCCTCAAAAAAGCTGGGGTGGCCATACTAGTATCCAACAGCCTTAATTTCGCGTTGAAAAAGATTAGAAGGGACAGCGAAGGCTATTTTCTCTTCATCAAGGGATACGTACAACAGGAAGAAATCATACTCTTAAATGTATTCGCACCTAATCAGGGAACAGCTAAATATTTAAAATAACTGCTAACAGATTTTAAGGAGGACATTACTAGCAACACAATAGTAGCTGGAGACTTCACCATCGACTTATCACCTCTGGATAGATCAACAAGAACAAAACTCAGCAAAGAAAGATTGGCTTTGAAAGAAGAAATAAAAGAGAAAGGTCTTATAGACCTATAGAGGGCTTTACACCCCAAAAGAAAGAATACACATTCTTCTCCAGTGCACACAGAACATTTTCCAAAATAGACCATGTCCTAGGCCACAAAACATACCTCACTAGAATCAGGAAGATAGAAATAGTATCAACAATCTTTTCAGACCATGATGCACTGAGAATAGAAGTGAATCACACACAGACACGGAGAACCAAATCAAACACCTGGAAAATTAAACAACTCAATGCTGAACAACAAGTGGATCAGGAAGGAAGTCAAGGACAAAATCAAAAGATACTTGGAAACAAATGAGAATGAAGACAAGAGCTACCAGAACTTATGGGATGCAGCGAAAGCCATTTTAAGGGGAAAATTTATAGCTCTGCAAGCATATCTCAGGACAGAAGAAAGGATGCACATAAACAACTTGACTTCACAGCCCAAGAGCTTAGAAAAGGATCAACAGAAGGAGCCCAAATTGGGCAGAAGGAAAGAGATCATAAAACTTAGAGCAGAAATCAATGGCATGGAAACCAAAGAAACAATCCGAAAGATCATTTTTTTTTTAATTTTAAAAAGAAAAAAACATAATTGTTTTTGTTCTTCTGCTTGCTGCTCCACCATTCATTCTGTTCCTAGATGAGACTTGCCTCTGGCTGATATCATTGTGTTTAACTTGGAACAAGAGGCAGAGCACCTCCCTTCCATCTTGGCCCCAGCAGCCTCCACAACCAACCTGCATCATATAAATAGACCCATGCCACAGCTCCTGAAGATAAATATAGTTAACACATTACACGCTGCCCGCAGTTATTCTTCCTGTCATTTGGTGAAGATGGGCAGAGAAGAAAGAGAGTTACCCTAGTCTAATCCCTCAGCATCTTCCAAGAGGTCTAACTACAAAGACTCACTCCCAGCATAGCAAGAACACTAGACCATCAATAGGAAAAACATGTAGAAGCCCACCAAGTTCAATGAGCAAGCAGTACTACTGAAGACATTGGTAACATTTGTATATCTTCAGGCAATGTTACTGAAGATATTTACTGACACCATGATTAGGATGTTCAATGAGCTTAAAGAAAGAATAGCACAGGTAGTCAGCAGAGAACAGAAAACTAGAAAACTGTGAGAGTCAAAATAAAAAAATGGTTACAATAAGAAATGACAGAAATGAAGAACATTATGGGTGATATTAAAAATGTCAATAGAAGCTCTGGATAACAGAATAACAAAATAAAAACAAAGATTGGGACTGGTGTTGGAACATTGTATGCTGAAACAACTCTATTATGAACAATTTTATAAATTATAGTATGATAATAAAAAAATCTTTAAACATATTTTTGTGAAAAGTCTGTAATAATGGTACTTGAGAATATAATGCCAAAACTTACTTAAATAATCTTTACTTTCTACATACTGTAATCCTAATTATTGATTGAGTTGATTGCTTCTGTGGTAATAGTAATGCTAGCATCTCTTCCTGAAAGAAATATTGATATGTTTTTGATACTTAATCAAAAGACGAGATTTGAAATTTCCTCTCTTCATGCAAACAAAGATAATGTGAACCAATGATCTGAAGGATTCCTTGGTCTTACAACCCCTTCTCTGGTACCACAGAACTTGCCGAGGGAGGTCATAGAAATTCTCCTTGGGACAGGCCCTCTGTGCATTCATTGCCCTGTCTTTCCACAGGAGACATGTGGGTACCAACTTCAAAGAGGAATGTGGGTAAGTGTCACGTGATTTGAGGTGGGGAAAATTGCCATTACCTTATCAGCCCTGTCTTTTTCAACTCCGTATTTCCCGCCAAAACCTCTGGCAGCATCAGTCTGTGAAGAATGCTTCTCCACCTCGGCAACATATTCATGGCCCACAGCACTCTGAGGAAAATCAAAAGCAGAATCAGTGACAAGGGAACAACGATCACAAGAAAATAAAAAAGACAGCAATGGGGTAGGATCCATGAAATTCCATTCTCACCAAGAGTTCACCTCTGACGAGAATGTTACTGGGGAACAATGAAGCTTATTCTGGAGCCTTGCACATATCAATTCTCATTAACGCTATTTGTTAATGAGTTATCAGACCTGGAATTCTCAGATGGAAACAACAGAGACTAAGTAATCAGAGAAATGATAAACTGGTGTGTGTGTGCGTATCTGTGTTTGTGTGTGTGTGTGTGTGTGTGTGTGTGTGTGTGTGTGTGTGTGTGCACTCAGGGTGGAGATGGGGGTGGTGAGGTGGTGGTGGTAAAACAAAGGGCATGTAAAAACAGACATGAAAGTGGATATGGGGAAGAGACGAAAGGGAACTGACTGAGTACATTGGATACCATAAGAGGAACCAAATCTTTCACGAAACAGACTGCTGTGTTTTATTATGGACCTTTAACCTTATCTGGCCAAAGTTCGGAAGTGCTATCTGAGCACTGATGTTTGACAGCGAGACACGATAGTCAAGGAGGTTGAATAATAATCAATACTTAGTAATCTAAGATGCAATGTGACTTAAACTTTTTGTGATCCCCTTCATTTTATTTTCTGAGTTTTATGAATATATCTATTCTAGTATTTTGATGTTGATGTTTTAATAATCTTGAAATTATTACTTTAAAATAAATAGCAAAGCCTTGCAGGGGCTCAACTAAAAAGAGATCAGCTTCCTCCTAGAATTCCAATCTCACGCTGGAAAAAGCAGCACCAGCATAAAGAATAATGTGAAACCCTTGCTTATTTAAGATCCTGGGAACTCATACTTCAATATTTTTGGTCTGTTGTAAGGCAACTTTGATTGCTTAATTTAATAATAAATGGCTACTTAGTTATTTAACTCTTGCCAGGAATTTTATGGGAGAATACACTCTCTACACTGTACTTCGCACAAATAAAAACACTTCTTCATTGTGAACTAGAGATTTTTATTAAATATTTTTCCCTTGGACAAATATATTTAAAATATAAATATCATAAAAATTATATTTTAAATATTATATTTCCCCTTGGAAAAAGTTTTTATTAAACTTTTTTGGTAGAAATATATCATTATTTTAAAAAGTTAGTAAAATCAATAGAAGATTTATTCACAAACATTCTTTTAACATATACTTCTAGCATCTTATAGATTAAAATTATATTTCAGGGTATATAATGGATAACTTTATATCAATATTTGTCATACTTATGCATACCAACAATTAATTAATATACATACAAAGCACTAAATTTGCAATACATTAAATAAGAGAAGTTGTAACATAGATGTACTAAACACATATTTAAAAGTAGTAAATTGCTTGAATGCATATTTTTTCCTTTCCATTTGTCTCCCCCTCTCTTTGTTCTAAGAGTTCTGTGTGTTTCACCTACCATAAGCCAGCCTATCTAATTTCTTCACTCCCATTTTCCCATCAATAGATTTATATTGAGGCCAGGGGGGAATTTCAAATAACTCATAGATCTTTTGCTTTAATGTCAAAGATGCATTTTACTTTTGAGAAAAAAAAATCACTGTCACTGTCACAGTCCTCCTATTGTTCATCAATTTGCTCAAGCGGGCCCAGTAACGTCTCCATTGTGACAATGGTTACTGTGTTTGGCATATCCAATATGTCCTGGGTAGCTTGCCAGGCTTTGCCGTGAGGGCAAGTTACTCTCAGTAGACTGCCGGGCTCTCCAAGAGGGGCGGAAGAATCGAACTTGGGCATGTTGAGAAAAAATAAAAACATAAAACCAAAACCAAACGGAATGATAGAGCTGAGTATCCAAACCACACAGTCAACAGTACGAAATCATAAGGCCCAAACCTTAAAAACTAAACATAAAATGTGCCAGTCAAGATGGCAGGATGGGTCTGGGACTGGTGCTGAAGAGTGGGAGAAGGAACCTGAGGACACTGGTGTAGGGAAACTGGCACTGGTGGCAAAATTGATGATGAAACACTGTATGTCAAAAACCCAATTATGAATGATATGTAATTCATGGTGCTTTAATTTTTAAAAAATTCAGGGGGAAAATATAAAATCAACAAGTGAATCTGTCTTAAGGGAAGAAAAAGTAAATCTCTCCTTCCAACTTACCTTGTCCATTCGGTCTCTTTCCACCCCAAATCGACCTCCATAGCCATGGGATGCTTTGGGTCCTGATTCCATCTCCTTCTTCTTGAGAACATCATGCTCCTCTGACACTTTACTCCTCAGCTGGTGGATACTAGAAATAACCATACAAGAGAGACTCATCTAGCACAGAGAATCGAAAAGCACATCTGCCCAGTAAAAAGTATTGAAGTGTTTCAGTTATACCCAGCAATAACTTGAGCCACCAAAATATACCAGTAAGAAGTCTGGAAGTAGGGGACTGGTGTGACCTGCATATAGTAGCCTGATTTAAACTCTCAGATGACAGTGTTTTGTTTAGTCTGTCATTTTGCTCAGTAAATAATTTCCTGATATTTAGTCCTATTTTTCATGTCCCTAAATATTAGAGGAAAATTTTTCTTTATTTTAGTAAAACTAAGAATATAATTCCTCTTTTTCAGCAAGGGGCAGGGATGGGCCACACCCAGTTCTTCTCAGGGCTTACTCCTGTCTCTGTGCTCAGGGATGACTCCTGTGGGACTTGGGGACCATATATGATGCCAGAGAGCAAACCCAGGTAGATTGAGTGCAAGGAAAGCTCCTTGCCCACTGTACTATCTTCCTCGCTCCTATTATTCTCTTTTAATATATTTTGTTTCTAGCAATTAGATAATCTAACTCAAGAAATTTTAAAATATTTGTATATCATTTTACCAATGCACTGAAGTCTGTGAATCTACACCAAGGAAGTAATTTCCAATAAAGAAAAGCTTACAGACATTAACAATAACATTATCTATAAGAAGAACCAAGAAACTATTTATATGGTCAACAATTAGAGAGGAATTAAATAAAAGGCAATGAGGAAATTCTACTTTTCATGTCATACTAGAAAGTCATTAAAAATGATTATTGAAGGATTCAGTACTGCAGTCAAGACAATTCCTTGCATGTACACAACATGGGTCCAGTCCTTGACACTCATGACCCCCTGAGCATGGCTGAGTGTAGCCCTGGAGACCCTGAGTACCGCGAGGATGGCCCTAGTGGACCCAAACATTGCATGAAGCAACACCACGTTCTTTGGCTCAAGAACTGTCAGTATTGTTGGCTGAGGATCACTAGGAGAGGTCCTTCGGGACCCTGAGCACCACCTCAATTGCACCTGCCCCTCCCACCAAGAAGAAAAATTGATGATAGCTATTAAAACTATGACGCTGGGGAACCTATACATGAATTTGTGTATTTATGGTAAAAAAATTAATGCCCTTTAATCTGTCCCCAAATCTTAAAATTCCTTAGAAAACGGATAACTAGTAAAGGTTAACTAACAAAATTGATTCATCATGAATTATAACTTTAAGATCAAATAACCAGATTCAGGCACACCTCTCATTGATTTGCTCAGATCCATTGTGAAACTTGTTGTTACTGTTTTTGGCATATCTAAAATGCCACGGGTAGCTTGCCAGGCTCTGCCTTGCTGGCAGGATACTCTCAGTAGTTTGCCGGGTTCTCCGAGAGGGGCAGAGGAATCAAACTCAGGGTTGGCCATGTGCAAGGGAAACACCCTACCCGCTGTGCTATCTCTCCAGCCCTTTGAATCATTAGGTCAAGATAACCTTAAGTTAAAATTTTTATTTCCTGAAGCAAGAAATATAGGAAACTGTGATTGTATGTTGTTGGTGTATCAATAGTTCTACAAAAACAGATACACCGGTGTCAAGTGGAATGGCTATCTCACAGTGGAGATTTTCCTCTTTCATGAACTCATCTGGAGGTTTGTAGGATAATCTCACCAAAGGTCTTTTAAGAAGACTTCTTTGCTTTAGTCATGGTTAATTTTAGAAATCTGGCTTTGGACCAGAAGAAATTACGCTAAGAGCTGGAAGCACCCTCTGTTCCCATGCCTGCCCTAAAGCCTCTGGCAACAGTGATGCAGATACCATGTTACTCAACAACCCTAATACTTTAGAAAGGTCTGTGACCAAAAGGCTCCCAAACCTAAGAATGTGTAAATGACTGTCTGATATTCAACATATTCTGTAGGATAACATTGGTTTGTCCTTTCTCCCTTGCCACAGGGAGCTTAGGTTTATCGGATTACACCCATCACAGTGCTCCTGAGTCACTCCCATTCCTCTGTTTATCTGTAGGTTCTTCTCTGTGCTCTCCTTCCCAGCCAGTTAATCACTTTTTTCCCCTAATTAGATTCTGTAAGATCAGATCCTTTTAGGACATTTAACTTATATTGTAAGTTAAATATTCCTTTTCTCCGTCTTTTGCATAGTTTACGTTAAAGCAATGTCCTTTCTGTATGGACACAGGAAGACAGTTAATATTATGCTTTGTAACTTGGGAGTTGATTGACTTCAAATATTTACTCTTGGGCATCTGCTTTCTTGACTCAGTTGCCCTTAGTTCCTAGCACCTCGAAAGCAGGGTCCCGACGAGGGACTGAATGGACCCAGGCAAGCTGTGAGCTACCCTGGCATCGAAATGGGCCAGGCCAAAGCATCATGATATTCAACTATAAGTTGAAGGCAAATGCTTTCATGATCCAAAAGTAACGATGAGACTAGGGCCTTGCTGGGGTTAGGAAGACTAACCTGGCCTGAGTACTGTGGTGCAATATATATATATATATATATATATATATATATATGAATATATAGTGGGATGTCCTCAGGAAGAACCAAACCTTAAGTTTATATCACTCACTGTGCTCATACAGGATGACATTGCTAGAAATATTAGAAGTAGATTTACTACAACCATTTAAGTGGATTACTAGCTGAGGAAAGAAGAAAGCGACACACCCTTATTGGGATCCCACCCTTGAGTGAATCTCCTAGTAATCCGGAGTAATCTCTTTAGATGAGATTTTATCCTTGAGTTAATGTCCTGGAGGAGTGGTTTTACCCCTCTTTGTTGATTTGTTAATGTTCAACTCACCTTTTTGTCACCCCCCCCCCATGTGATTGCTATATAAACTAAGACTCTAAGAGCATTGGGCCAGAGTCAGATCCAGAGGCTGGAAGGAGAATGAGGCGGGAGAAGAATGAGAATGAAAGGGGAGAGAGAGAGAGAGAGAGAGAGAGAGAGAGAGAGAGAGAGAGAAGGAGAGAGAGAGAGAAGCAAAAGGGGAGTGGAGATTGGAATAAACTACAGTTGATACCAACCAGCCTGGGTCTCGTTCCTTCCTTAGCCTACCTTGCCGTTGGCCTCCCTGGGGTGGGGGAAACGGTCTGAGACTACCAAAGGCGGGCGGGCTTTTTGTGTTTATACAATATTCAGATGAAGAATGAATGGGCAAAATACTACTCTCAAATGGGAAAAATCAGTGCCATTTTCATGGATCCAATTACTGTCACGTGGTTTAGAGCAAGGCTATAGTTGAAACAAGATTTTTAGAGGGATTAGAAAATGAAATTCAAGAATACCCACATAATGGACAGCAAAGCTAGTCAGAGGATACTAATAGATAAAATAATTTCACTTAAAATGTTGTGGCCAGGACGGTAGAAATAGTACAGTGGACAAGGTACTGACAGACTACGGTTCTGTCAGCACCACATATAATACTAAGTTCCACCACAAGTGATCCCTGAATGCAGAGGCAGGAGTAAGCCTTAAGCAAATTTGGGTGTGGCCCCCAAAACAACAAACAAACAAACAAGAAGAAAATGTCAATTGAGTGTGCTAAGTGGCAAAAGTAAGAAAGTCTGACATGTTACCACTCAGCTGTCCGTTTTACTTCTAAAATACTCAGAAGTGATAAGGCAATGCAGTTAATGGGCACCTAATGAAATCTAAGATGTCAACGATGAGTTAAGAGGAAAAAATATTTTTATTGCAAAAGTAAAGCATGAAAATTAACTATCAGAATATAAGGTTCTACTCACACAGCTGCTGCCATGTTGACTCACCCACCAGCCTTGCTCTACTGATTACCAAATCAATCTTCGAGGAGATGCAAATCAAGCAGCTAAAATTCATTGCAACACTGGTCCCCACAGTTGAAAACTCCAGGCCCAGGCCATAGATCCTGAAGTCTCTGTCTGTACTGCACTGCTGAGGAACACCTCAATAATGATGTTCCAGCAGGAGTACACCAAATTCAATGGGGAAGTAACATAGAAGCCAAATAAACTCAATAAACAAAAATAATAACAATGGTGCTTCAACTAACAACAAACAGCTTAAGAAATGCTAAGATAAGAATTTAACAACCCTGTGATAAAATATAACAATTTTCATATAAAATCGATGTTTATCTCATTTATTTTATTATTGATCTTTGTATCTAATCACTTTCAATTCTAGAATTATATCAACAGTTTTGATTTTTGTCTACATTAAAATACATTTTTTAAAAAGATTATGTTCACAGATAGTGTTTTCATATATAGGAAATCCCTGAGAATCTACACACACACACACACACACACACACACACAAAGCAATCGACCTATTAAGTACATTTGGGTACAAGGGCATTATATAAAAATTAGTTTTCTTCATTCTAGCTACAGATATTCGGAAACTGAAACTGAAAACAAATACCACATATTTAAATGAAATAACAAGAATTATTTATATATATAATATATATGTATCAAAAGATATGAGACCTAAACACTGAAAAACATTTAGCACAAATTAAAGAACAACTAAAGAAATGGTCAGATCATCCCTGTTCAAAAGATTTGAAAATCCTAACTTGAAGATGAAAATCCTCTCCAAAATTTGATGCAGACCCAATCATAAGTGGGTCCATAAATTCAGTGCAATCAAAATTTCAACAGACATTTAGGTAGAAATTGGCTATCGTATTCTGAAATGTCTGTTAGATATAAATTCATGGGAAAGCAAAAGGATTTTTTGGCATTACTTTTTGGTTTTTGTTTCCATTTGGGGACACATATGGCAGTGTTCAGGCTTACTCCTGACTCTGGTCTCAGGGAACACTTCTGGTGAAGCTTGGATATGGGGTGCCTAGACCAAGCCTGATTTTGGCTGTGTGCAGTGTCCTACCTGCTGTAGTATCGCTCCAGTTCCTTTATAACTATTTTTAAACACGTGTTTATTTCTGTTTGAACAATCAAACCAGTATTATTGTTTCGTATGTGC